CCACCCTCCTGACACCCACCCTGCAGATATTTATAAGCATTTCTAAGGTCTCCTCGCAGCCTTCTCTTCTCCAGGCTGAAAAAGCCCAGCTCCCTCAGCCTCTCCTCGTAGGAGAGATGCTCCAGCCCCCCCATCATCCTCGTAGCCCTCTGCTGGACTCTCTCCAGTAGCTCCTCAGTTTTCTTGAACTGGGGAGCCCAGAACTGGACACAGTACTGCAGATGGGGCCTCACTAGGGCAGAGTAGAGGGGGAGGAGAACCTCCCTCGACCTACTGGCCACACTCCTCTTCATGCACCCCAGGATCCCACCGGCCTTCTTGGCACCCAGGGCACACTGCTGGCTCATGGTCAACTTGTCGTCCACCAGGACACCCAGATCCCTCTCCGCAAAGCTGCTCTGCAGCAGGTCTGCCCAAAGCCTATACTGAGGCATGGGATTGTTCCTCCCCAGGTGCAGGACCCTGCACTTGCGCTTTTTTTGCCCAAGCCAACTTTTGAAAACGCAGCCCTGCACCCATCAGCGTGAAACCACGACCTCTGCACATGGTGAGATTCATCTCAACCCTTTTACACTCCACATTTAGAGGGGATTCCTAGCACCAGCGCAGTGCCGGGCTCCGGGCTCCTGCCCTTGCACCCTCCCAGCAGCAGCACCTCAGGCAAATGTTTTCACCCATCGCTGCTAACAGTCGTGGCCCTGTGCGAAGCCAAGTCAACCCTCTCCACGACCGAGCCGCAGCTGGGTTATCGCTGCAGCGCATTCGGAGCCCGTCTGCAGGTCGCTCTGACCCTTGGGACGCCACAACGTTAGGACCAGGAGCGTAACCTGACAGCCAGATCCACGCAAGGAAACGGGCTTTCACCACGCGGCGGGATCTCGGTCTCCGCACCGGCCGTGCGGCGTTTCTGAAGCGCTCAGAGCCTCTCCCAGCACAGGGTGCCTGGGGCCGCAGCCGGACACGGGCCCCTCGCGCCGGTGGCCCCTGCCACCCCCACGCACCCTCGGCAACCGCAACTGGTTGCGCCTTGCAGCAGCCTCAGTCCCCGCGAGCAACGCCAGCACGAGGTGCGGGCAGCCCTGGCTCCCCTGCCTGCATCTGTCCACGTTCCCATCACTCCCGTGGCTATGAACAGCTTTCTCCGCGCGCTCGTGTTTCCATTTATCCTGCGCTAACAAAATGCTAATGCCCGACCAGGGACTGTGGTTGCCGTGCCGCGTGGCTGGTGTCACCAGCTCTGGAGCAGCGCTCGGGGCAAGGGACCCAGCCGGGACAGGCAGGGCTGACCCCTCTCCCTGCAGAGCCCACCAGGCCAGCCCACGGCCCCAGCACGTGCTTGCCACGGGGGTTTTTCTTCCCATCTCAGCTCCGCTAACAAAATGCTAATGCCCGACCAGGGACTGTGGTTGCCGTGCCGCGTGGCTGGTGTCACCAGCTCTGGAGCAGCGCTCGGGGCAAGGGACCCAGCCGGGACAGGCAGGGCTGACCCCTCTCCCTGCAGAGCCCACCAGGCCAGCCCACGGCCCCAGCACGTGCTTGCCACGGGGGTTTTTCTTCCCATCTCAGCTCCTGGCAGGGGGGGGGGAGGCGGAGCGTGGCCCCAGCAAGCCAGGCTCCTCCTTGCTACCTGCAAGTGTATTTTCCTATTTCCAAATGGGAAAGCAAACAATCTTGTTGAATAAATACAGCCTCTGAGTCAGTGTTGTAGGGCAAATCACAATTTCAAACTCCTCTCCTGTTTGCTCTCCACGACCCGGGAAGCTGAGCTGAGCGTCCGAAGCCACCAGCACCACTGTGCCGTGCCTGGCCAGCCCCGATGCTCAGCACCCTATGGCACAGCCCTGCCGCCCCCTCCCAGAGCCCAGCATCCCTGTTTAACGGCAAAACTGCAACCTCGCCCCTGCCCCACTCCAGCAAGCCTGCAGAGGCGGAGAAGTAGGGCAGTGAGCCTCTTTGCCAGCATTCGATCTCCCTCTGGTCCCTACAGAAATCAGGTTTGGTCTCAAGCCAGCCCAGGGAAGGAGCATCTGCTCCAGTATAAGAAAAGCAAAATACTCCTTAGCCCCTGTTCTGGACTGCAGAGACAGCCAGAGGAGCCACAAAGCTGAAACCCCCCTCTAAAAGAAATTAAAGTCCTTCAGGCTCTCATGGACAGGAGCTGGAAAAGCCACAACACCCCACAGTCTAAGGTTTTTTGGTTTTTTCTTTTTTTTTTTTACCCCCATACTGTGGTTTCTACCTAGCAAGACAGCATTTCACAGAGGCAAGGCTAACAACGTGAAAGACAAGCGCATCCATGAAATAACACACGTGGAAAGTACCATGGGGCCAATTAGCTTTTCACGATGAAATCTACAAATTCTGGGAGCCACACTTCTAGAACTGATATAATTGTGGAAAAATGGATCTTAAAATCACGATACAGTTCCACATGGGAATTCTCTATAGTAAGCAATTTCCTTGAGAGCCTGCTAAAGGTGGTTTTCCTGTGATCTCCCTCTCCTCTGCAAGGCTGTGGCACTAACCTGCAAGGACGCAGCCTCCCATCACTTTACTCCAGTGGGAAAGCAGAGAGGCCCCCGCAGATGCCCCCAAACCCGGGGCATGTGCTGGGCAAGGTCCATGCTGGGTAGCAGCAGGACCCTGTCCTGGTTTGCTGCTCCGAGCGTTGAAGGTGACAGCAGAGCATCCCAGTGGCTTTCCAACCCTGCCCAGCCCTCCTCCAGCATCCCCTGGGGACTGTATCCCCCATCTGCATACCTCATTTTTCTATTTAAAGGCAGAAGGCCATTTTTCTGCCTCTAAGCAGCAAAAGGACCGAGCACCTTTGCAGCCCAGAGGCACCCTGCGAGACAGCCCCTGTCCCTGGGGAGAGGCGCAACCCGACATCGGGAACAGCATCCGTCCGTCGCCGCCTCCCGTAGTGAATCAGCAGCACTTTGCTCCCAAGGCCCCAGTCCTTATTCAATTAAAAGCTGAGGAAGGTCCCTAATCCTTTCTGCTGCTCTGCAGAGGAGCGGGAAAGGGAGGCACCTTATGGTCCCAGCCGTCGGGGACACCGTGACAGAGCAGGTCTGCCCAGCGTTGCCACTGGTGCTGGGAAGATTATTTGGATACCGGGGCTGTGGTCCCACGAATGTCCCAGAGAGCCCCTGATTTAGCTGCTATGGTGGTAAACAGGGGATCCTGCAGGGTAGGTCCTGCCAAGCATGGTTATCGGTGCTCCCAGCAGCATCTCCCATCCTTCCCACACAGTAAGATCCAGATGGTGGATCAGCAAATCCCAGACACTGAACAGAGCAGCTCCAGCCTTTCCAGTAATGACATCTCAAACAGCAGGAGACCAGACTTTCTCAGGAACTGACAGTACAAACCCTCGATGCCGATCAGACCGTAAATTGCCCGTCTGTGTAGCTCACCGGCTCCTCGCACACCGCAGCCGGAGCTCTAGCACGGGGAACGCTGCTGCTAATTGCTGCAGGCACCGAAGGATGGGGAGGAGGGGACATGGGGAGCGCTGATGGAAGCAGCCCCGAGGTTTTGCAGAGAGTCAGTCATTAATACAAGAAAGAAGGTGCAGGGAAGGTTGCTGGCACCAGACACGGGCTGCTGTATGGCGGAGTGAGCCAGCAGCAGCCACCCAGCTACGTTAAAGGCAGGAGAACAATACCATCAGACAGGAAAAATCACCTTTCCTGCCATACTCAATTATGCCTGGGCAATAGGCACTGTAGTTAAGTCTCTAATCCCGTTGATACACCAGAAGCAGTCAAGAAATGTTCTTTTTTGTTTTGGTGTGAAATTCCAGGTGGTTCAATCTTGCCTAATTCCCCTATTGAAGCAGTGAGATCCTGACACTGGCATCTCCTTCATGAAGAGGAGAACCAGATCCTCATGGTAAGGTCAAGCTCTTGCCATGAACACTCACCTTTCTACGCCAGTCTAGGTTTCATGGTCCATCTACGCATGCACACAATCCTGCTCCCCCGAAGCGCCCTGGGATGGACCGAGCGAGAGGGGGACCCCAATGCTGGCAGCGCAGTGCCTTCGTCTGGGATTAAAAAATAGCCTTTCTGCTCAGGACTAAGTAACTGCAAAGCACATACCCCCATCACAAGCCCTCCAATTTGCCTCCTGCAGAGCCACGCCACTCCACAGATCCCCAGGCGTTATGGGAACCAGGGTATAAAAACATTCCCAGCGCGGTGACGCCAAAATTGATGCTGAAATTAGGCTGGGAACAGAACTGACACAGTAGCTTCTAGCCTATAAACCAAAGCGCACGCACACAGCCAATAACCCACAAGGATATCGCAATTTGTGATCGCCCGTAGCTTTTTTTCCCCGCTTCCAGTTTTGCCCCCCAAGTTGCTCCCTGCGTACCCCAAGGGCTTGGGCATCGGCAGCTTCAAGCAGCTACAAAGCACAGGAACCCAGCCCAGCCATTCCCTGCTTCATCAGCACCAACAGACGTTTGCAGCATGAACACCAAAGATCTCGGCTCCCTGTCGGACACCGAAACGCTCCTCCTGCCCCAGGAAGGGGGTCCGAGCCCAGCTCCCGGGCGTCCCAACCCCACCGTGGGGATGCAGGCACATCCAGCGCCTGGTCCGCGTGGAGAGCACCATGCCCAGAAACCACATCCGCTCTTACAGAGCTGCCCCAAGGAGCGCAGGAGGAGGAGGAGGGAAGGAAAGATGCCTCCTCACGGACAGCCCTTGAGCAGGATGCTTGCTGCAGCCCGTGCCCACAGGGTTTTGCTCCTCTGCAACGCAATGCACAACCAGTGGGCCAAGCCTTTAGACCTCCCATTGCCCAGAGACACATAACTCACTCCTCTCTGTTCCCCATCTCCTGCCCAGAGTGGAAGGATTGACCCCATTCTCCATCACAAAGGAAATTCAGGATCTCACAGGTTTCCAGCACATGGAAATACCGTCTCTGGCTCCCCATCTCCATCCCCCACCCACCCAAAGAGACCCCAGAGCAGCACTACTCACATTGTACAGGACTGTGGTCCACCCTTCCATGGTGATGCACTGGAAGACGGTCAACACAGCAAAGAGGATGTTGTCGAACTGTGTGATCCCATCGTTGGGACCGATCCACTCCCGGCATTCGTAGCCTGGGGGGCAACCCTGCACCCCGCATGGATGGGGAGGGTCCAGCTCCTCTAGTTCACCTGCGAGCACACAGCAAAGAGCCAAAGGAGGCAGCGGTAAGAGAGAGGCAGGGGACAGGCATGGGGTAGAGCAGGGGACGCCGCTGGGACTACCTCTGGCTGCACCCAAACTGCTCCCGTAAGAAACTGGGACATCCTGAACGCAACCAGGTGATGCCTGGTGTGCATGAAGCAAAATGCAGGATCTTCTCAGCCCTGGGCTTCCTACAGTGGCCACACGCACTCAGACCGGCTGTTTTCCGCCCAAGGGATGCCAAGTGGGTGCAGAGCCCCTCTCCCCACCTGAATTGTTTGTGTAGCAGGCTCGGTGCAGCTTCCCGCTGTAAAACTCCAGGCCGATGATGGCAAACATGAGGATAGCAAAAAAGAGCAGCAAGCCGATCTGGAGGAGAGGCACCATGGCCTTCATGATGGATTTCAGCACAATCTGCAGGCCTGGGACAGGAAGGAAAGAGCACAGCTTGGCAAAGTGATGCAGACCCCTTGCCTGGGGCATGTCCATCCCACCTCTGGCAAGAGGAGGGCAGTGAGTGGAGAGGACGGACAGTCACCAGACAGATGCAAGAGGCCAGCAGAGCCTGCAGGATGCCTTTGGGCAGGTGAGGACCATGGAAGCAAAGCACCTTCCCAGGAGGAGCAGGGAGGGCCAGGCTGCAGAGCAAGGCTCTGGGGGGGCTTGTTTCTGGATCTGGTTTCCCATCTGGTCTTTTGCCTGTCCTTGTCCCAGCTGGCCTTGGTGGGACGTGGCCCATGCAGCTCTATCCCCCCCATTGCCCCAGCACACTGCCTATTCGATACCCAAGGCAGGAGTGATAGGAGGACCGGTGCTGGCAGCAGCCTAGTTTCTTTATTTATCCCCATGCCAGCAGATGAAATCTTGCAAAAAAAATGAAATCTCCCCTGAATAAACCTCAGTCCTGGAAGGATCCACCCACTGCCTTCTGGCCAGGGAAGCGGAGCCATCGGTGGGCCCCAGCAAGCCCAGCGTTGTGCCAGCACAGAGCGGGCTGGGCAGGGGGAAATGCCACCCGGGGACACCAAACACTGTCATCCTAGAGTTCCCACTACACGGGGAGGTTCATACCCCTCTTCCCTGATCCCACCCTCTTTCTCCAAGGTGGCACAAGGACCCCTCTCACGCTGAAGGACATCGGGGATGGATGCAGACACGCCGGGAGGAGGACCAGGCGTATCCAACTTACTGGGAATGCCCGAGACAAGCTTCAGAGGTCTGAGCACGCGCACGGCCCGCAGCGTCCGCAGGTCCACGTGGGTGTTGAAGTGCGTCCCTGCAGTGGCGAGGATGCTGCGGGCAGACAGGGAGAGAGCAGAGTTACCCCGCCAGGCAGAGCCTTCGGTCACCCCGGTGCCAGGAGCCATGTTCTCATGCCAGGCTGTGGGGAGTCCTGAGGAGCACCATGTCCCTGGGCAGGTACAGAGAGATTCAACGCCTCCAAAAGCCCACACGCCAGCGAGCCCCATTTGATGCTGACATCAAAGTTCATGGGCCACTCTGGCCAGCCAAAGCCACCCAGGGGGCACCCAGCCCTGGCAGCTCCCCATCGATGGCTGGGGACAGCCCCATCACCCTTGCCATGCAGTCGATGCTGCAGACATAGTGCTCATCGCAGCTGCATGAGTTTAATCTCCCTTCCAGGCAGGAGGCATGTGGACCAGAGATGTTGCCCCAGAGATGGAGGTCGCTCCCCTGATGGTCACCCACGCTTCCCCAGCAGCACCTCCAGCCATCAGCTGCTCTGGCTTTTTCCATACATGGAGATTCCTTAGAGTCCCACCTCTGGGATTGCTGAGAAGGAGCAGAGAACCTCACATGCATTCAAAAATCTATAGTAATGAAAGTTTTATGACCTTGGAAGGCAACCGGCAGGCACAGGAAGGACTCCAGAGGTTTTCTTTTAAAACATAAAGATTTTTTTTTTCAGGCCCATCTCTGGAAAACACATTGGGGCAGAAGGGAGCTGGTGCACACCAAGTCCAGCAGTGGAAATACTTAGGGGCCCCATACCTGCTGGGGCGATGGGGATGCTGCGGCTTGGGGATGCCAGCAGAGCCACGGGAGCACAGACAGCAGTGCCGGAGCTCATGGCCTACTCACCCACCCTGGCTTGGTCCCCAGAGCACTGGGCGAGGAGGAGAAGGGAGGGATGCAGTGGAGGAGACAGGGGATGGGCGAGGAGGGGACAGGGAGGAGAGCAGGACAGAGGGAGGTAGCAACTTCTGGGCTGTTTGCAGCAATCCAAAAACCAAGGGAAATTGGGTCATTGTTCCACTAATTCATCTAATTACAGGCCAGAGCAGCTCTCTTGCGTGCTGAGCAATTAGCACTCTTTCTCTTCCCCTCTCCCCGAGGTACAGCAGGTACCAACCTGCCCCTCCAGAAAGGTGGCTGGGTTTCATAGGATACCCCAGCAGAAGAAACGCTCTCACATCAGCAAACCAGGTTGTTTCAGTTCCTTCTCCTAGCCTCCTCTTCCTCCCTGCCCAGGCGCAAGGGGTCAGCTGCAAAGCCCAGCCCCAGCAGCAGCTGGGATGCATCACCCACAGCTCCCTGTGTATCAGGCTGCTTATCCCTGCTAAATACGGGGACCTTCCACCCTTGAAGGCACTTTCCCTTTCCCCCATCCCCCTTTGGCACGGTGCCCGTGCCCCAGCCCATGACCAGCCCCCGCTACCCACGGGACTGACGGGAGAGCAGAAAAGGGACTTAATTAAGTCAGGAGCACCCAGAGGCTGGGGAGAGCTGCATTGTTTAACTCGTCGTAAGATCAAAATCAATAAGTATGATAAAGCACGGCCACTCAGCAGCACGTGGGAGAGAGAAGAGCCCGGGCGCTCTCATCTCTTTCATGCAACCTGCCAGCAAGAGCAGGGTAAACCCAGCGCTCCCCAAAACACCGATATAGAGGACGCACTGCTCTCAACTCTGCTTTGTAGACCCCAAAACCCTTCTTCAGCTTTTTCTCCTCACGTCCCTATGCCCAGTGTCCAGCCAGCCTCCCACAGAAATGGGGAAAAGGCATTTGCAGCCCCTGCGCCGACTCCAGCCGGGGCCGAGCATCTCCAGGAGACCAGGAGCGCTCCAGCCCTTCTCCTGTGGGCTCACTGATACAAGCCCAGCACTGCGAAAAGCCCAACTGGAAGGCTCCTGGCAGCAGAGCAAGATCAACAGCTCTCTTCTACCACCACGGAGCAGCACGAGCCGTGGTCCTACAGAGCCAGGCGGAGTGATGGAGGTGGAGCCGTCCCCGGTCCCAGCCCCATCGCACATCTCCTCCCTGGGACAGGACCATCACCGGCTGCCCATCTCGGCGGAGAGGAGCAGAGCACCCCAGCTGCAAAGTCCTCCGCTAACCCAGATTTGTTTGAAGGGCTCGGGAGCCGTCGCGCCAAGCCTCCAGGCAAGGTTCGGGCGATTTCAGGGCACCGCTTCCCAGTGCTCTAAATTAGCTGCTAAGAATGGGACTCCTCTGTGGCAAGGTGACATGCTCCTTGTCCTCACTGGGGGACAAGGGACATCCACCACAAGCTCTTTCAGAAGGGGGTTTGGACAGATCACCCGAGCAAGGGGGTTGCACTGCAGACACGTCTCCCAGCCGACGACAGAGAGACGACCCACCGCTACGACACAGGCACAGCCACGGCTCCTGGCAAGGGTGGATGCACCGGCACCACGTGCCGCTGGAGCTGCTCCCAGCAAACACATCCATCCCCCAGCACCAAGGCACCCCACAGCCTCCGAGCAGGGCCCAGGCAGCCCTGGACCACCTCTAGACCAACTGAGGCAGCTGGATAAAGCCACGCAAGCTTCCAGGCATGCAAGAATGGGTTTTTCCTGCTTTTCCCAAGCCTTTCCAGCAGCTCTAAGTAACAGGCATCACCTCTTCCCGACAGCCAGGCTTCACTAGTACACACAGACACCACCGCCACGTTACTGCTAATAATAAAGACAACACTGAAAACACACGCTTCTGCTTTGGACTTCAACATTTCACCTGTTAATGGCTTATTAACCCTCCAAGCGTGCCTTTTTTAGTTTTTTTTGGCAGAGCGCCACCCGTATCACCCAGCATGACCCATTTTCCTTTTATTTATTGACCTGCGCTAAGGTTTCTTATAGTTCCTCGGGACGCACGGTGCAGAGATGGGGCTCGGGCTGGGACAGACCTTTGTGCTGACACGGGGCGGCAGCTCCGGTATCTGTAGAACAATTCAAACCCTTTTCGAACACTCACAATATCCACGTCTGATGTGCTAATAATTATTCTTTATTTTTAGGCAAGGACCCAAACTAAAATTACATCTCACCATCCACGTTATTTGAAAAAGCTGCCAGATTGGGCTATAAAAATCCCAATGATCTCATGCTTTTCATCATATGTACTGGAGAAAAAAAGAAGAAGAAGAAAAAAAGTGAAGGCGTTTTTATAGGTCACCCAGGCAAAGGGGTTAGTTTTACTTCTTCAGTAGAGGGAGAGGAGACTTCAGGTGGAGAAAAGAGCAGAGAGGAGCTATTGGAAGAATGCAAATGAGAGAGGAGGCAGGATGGGAAATATATGCTAATCCCCAAAGTATAATTGAATAGTGAGCAATCACCAGCAGATAAAAACATGCTTT